CTACTATACTGCACACTTACTATATATAGTATAATACAGTGTGCATATGTTTATATACACACCATACATGGTATGTGGCATATGGCATACGATATATATATAAAACCAGGAATATTTCACTAGATATCTCTGTCCTGCTTCCCATGTCTTTACGTTGCTCTCTCCTCTTTTCCTACATGAGGAGGATATCAGCAGTTCTCTTACACAGCAATGCCTTCCTCTGGGTTTCAATTCCAGACCATGAAATGTTACTCACGGGGAGTTCAGAGCTAATTGAGAACCTGCTAATGTAAGCATGTATGTAAGTTAGTATATTGCCAGTGTAAATGGAAGACAGGCATGTAACAGTCACAAGTCAATTTTCTGGTTCATTTGGTACTGTAAAAACTTGAGGAAAATGCTAGCAGAGAATAAGGGTTATTATACATGCTATTGCCACAGAAAGGTTGGAAGAAAGCATGACATTTTCCTTTGAAATATAGGGCTAAGAAACATCATAAGAGTGCATCAAAATCCATCTCCCTAAACTATTTCCTCACACCATCGTAAAACAAATGCCTTAACAGCACTGCTTTTAAGAGCACCAGCAGAGATGCTGTAATGGCCATGGCTAATTTTACTGCACCTGCTGACAGATTTTTCTGTTCAGCCAGCAAAGAGCATTTGGCCACTCTAACAATGGGGGGAAAAAGAGGATCCCAGTATTTTCCCCACTGTTTAGGGGTTCCAAGCCATCATCATAATCCTCCTCAGAAAAATTAACACCCTTTACGTCAAAAATTACAAACTGGGGTACTCGAGATGAATCTGAATTTCTCACTCTTGGCATTCATCCTGAGATCAGAGGGAGACCATAAAACAGCAAAGCTGAAGATTATGAGCCATCCAGAAAAAGAAACAGAGCTTGTTACACAAATGCCAAGTTACCTTGTAAATAATGTCTTTTTAATGATGGTCCTGATGTCTATGGGAATTTGGGGCATGGGGACTGACAAATAAATCTGTTCTTAGAATACATTTGTCTGGCACTGGGCAACAAGTTTCACCACTCCAGCTCTCCTATGTAGTGTTATATACATGAAAGTATCATGTTTGCTAACCCTGCCAAATTAAAGTGTGCAGTCACAGAGCATAACACATCCTGAAACTGAGACAGAGGAACTTTATCAAACTGTTGCTGAGGAGCTGTACACGGAAAACTTAGAAACAGGCCACACCCTGAGACATCAGGCTGCTTCTGGCTGTAGGTCAGCCACTCCATAAATCTACACCCCAAGAGAGAAGCAGACAGACCCACTCAAACTCAAAAATGCCATTTCCATGTTCAGGCACTCACCAGCTCTTTGTCCTGAAGTTCTGTTTCCAGTTCCTGGAGACGTCTACTCAGCTGTGCATTTCTTTCCTTCTCTTTATTTATTTCATTGCACTGCTCCTCCAGTTCTTCAATCTTTAAGAAATGTCAGACATTAGGTGAAATTTTTCAACTTTCTGAAAATCTGGGGCAGAACACAGCTGATGAAATGGGCACTGGATCTGCTTCCTAAATCACAGCATTTGATTCACTGCCACCAAATTATCGCTTCTTTCCTTAAAAAGAGCCAATTTACACATCCACTAGGAAGCCCTGGGTCTGTATTTATTCTCTCTCACAGTCTCTCAAACAAGTACTCAGGAATGCACAAAATACTTGAGCTTCTAAAGTAAGTGGAGCTGGGGATAAAATCTGCACTTCTATGAAACCAACACAAGACTACAAGGGATGGGTTTTCTTAACACAACAAGGAGAAGAAATCTCTCCTGCACTCCCAGCTTTGCCTCCTCGGGGGTTGCTTATTATTCTAGTTGGTGTACAAGGGACACAACATCAAAACTGAGGGGAGAACCAGTTCAGAGGAACATACGCTGCTTTGTTCTCTCGCCCAGGGACGTGCTTTGCTCTCTCCATACCTCCTCCTGCCAGCTCTGGACTCAGCTCCCAGGAGATGCACTTCCCACAGGCCGATGGCCCAGCTCATTAAAGTATGTACTTTAATTCTCAGCTTCGTGTCGCTTTGGGATTATAACTTCCCTCATTTGAAGGTAGAGCAATATGCAAAAAATTCTGACCCAATTAATACAGGAGAAGGAACTTCCCAGGGCGCTGCAGTGGTGCAGCGTGAGCACCGAGCAAGGAACCTACTTGGGGGAAAAGCTCAGAAAACCTCCCTGTACAGAAAAAGACAGCACATTATACAGACAGCACTGCTGCACACTCTGGCTAGTCACCAGCATGGTGACTTTGCAGCTGTGGCAAGGCAGTGTTTTAATAATCTCTTCATATCTAGTGCAGCTACTGGGATGTGGCATGTTTCACCAGTTAATGGTAGAGAACAACTTTTCTCTGAACAGAAAAGCAAATAACTACACTGCAAATTATGATATTTTCTTATAACATACTGTTCCAGTCTCTGACTTCTCACCTGTCCACAAGAGACTGGATACAGGAACCCAAATCATGTAACAACTAATATTAATTTGTTAACATAACATCAGTTAATACAGCTCTGGTTTGATCTCTGAATTACTACTGTGCACACACAAAACATGTGAATAGAGAGAATCTGCCTCAGGAAAAAGGTTGTTCCTTGAGAATTTTCAGTGCCAACAAACAACCCAAACCACCTCCAACGCTGAAATACTACTGGCAGCCTACTGACACACAAAAAGACATGAAATTCCTTTCCTCTTTGAAAGCAAACACTAAACAAAAAAATTTCCTCACCAGACTGATACAATCTGATCTCTACTTCAAATCTTCCAGTGATCCATCTAAGCGAGCAGGGAAAGGATGCAGCTTTTCCAAAGACATTTAGGATGAACAGAGTGAAATTCCCCCTGCAAGCAGTGCTCATGGAAACCAGGCTCCCCCCGTGCCCAGGCTGATGCCAGCACCATGTGGGGCTGGTGCAGATAGCACAGCATTATCGTAGGGATGGGACACCATCTCCTAACACACACAACGCAAAAGCTGCAGAAATCCCAGAGGAGGAGCACTGTCAGAGCAGCTAACTGGAGGGAACAGCTCTCCTGTGGGTATGCTCTGCTACCTTGCCCCTCAGCTGGTCGTTCTCTTCCTTGCAGGCTGAGAACTGCTTCTTCCAGTGCTCGATGCTGGCCGCGGACTCCTGCAGCGCCGTGGACAGGCGCGCGTTGCTCTCCCGCAGCGTCTGCAGCTCTGTCTCCCACTTCTTCACGTTGGATGAACTGAGAAAAACAGGATGCCATGAGGTGGTCTCACCTCATAATCCTGCAAACTGTTTCTCTTTACCTGTCTTCGAACTCGTCCACCATGCTGTGTGTGTTTGTTGCAATAAGACGAAGAACACTCAGATGTATGTAATTCCCTTTAGCCATTACATGCCTAAGGAGAACATAAGCCTTAATTTGACTGTCTCTGCCAAAACGAAGGAATCTACCAGCAACAGTGACCTGTGTCTGGCATAAAAGCCCTGCTGTCAGAGCAGGCTGTAGGGTCCAGCTGGCTGCTGGGATCCCCACATTTGCACCCAGGGGTTTACCCTGTCACCTCAGTTGTGTGGCTGTGCCTCGTTGAGCATCCACTACAGCATGGGCTGGGGACCTGCCATCCCTGCAACAGAGCCACTCTGCACATCTGCAGATGGTACAGTAGTTCAGAATGGAAGATTTCAGGGGGTTGACACGATCTATATTTGAATTTTTTAATGCTGAGTCTTAACTATAAAAGTGTTACATAATGCTGCAGAATTAAACTACTCATTCCCCAAAGCTCTGAGCTGCAGCACAGAGCACAAGATTAGAGGGTGAATGGGAGGAAGGCTTTGAAACTCCCTATGTGCTAGTTGCTGCTTGCCTGTGGAGGTGTCTTCATCAGGAGGAACAAGCAAACATTATGGTTTGAAATAGGTTACACTATTGAAATGTCAAGAAAGAGAGATGATGTACTTCAAAAATAATATATGCAACCTTGGAATTGCTCACTGGTTAATGCTGCTTACGGTGCTGATTTATTTTTTGAATACCTTTTCAAGAGTAGCTTGATCCTGTTAGATTTTCTTTCTATTCACAGACACATTCACATGCAAGAGGCAGACAAGGCAAGATCCCAGCAGAGAATTATTCTATTTTAATGTCATAACTCTGCATATTGCAATGCCTGTATTTTCACTACAGCTGCAAATTACTCTTCTCAGCATATTCAAATTATTTATCAAAGCAAACAGCAAAAAATGTAACTTCAAGGGGCTCTGTCCACAGTTTAGAAACATCCCCCTAAGACTTCTAAGCAGCCCAATGAAATTATATTTCTCACTTCAACTTTTTATGGTTGAGTTCATTCCCTTTTATAATTTTGAATATCCGTATCTATTTGCATCAAAGTGAGTGTAGCAAACTCAAAGAGGAAGAAAGATTGGCTTCACATGTTATCAGTAGCAATTGCTCCCCTGTGGCTTTCATGTTATTTCTGTAGTTCTAAAACTTCACCAATGAAGACGGTTATAATAGTTGGCATCAGCAGAATAAAAGAGATCTTATTTCTTCACAAGCCAGATCAGGAATAAATGGTAAATATCTCTCAACTGGATACCAGGAAGTACTTGCTCAAATCTGCTCATTCGTCCTTTCTGCTGCATTACTTTAAATTAATGCCATTATATTTGAATAATTTCTGTTAATATCATTAGCCATGAGATAATTGTGACACACTATTCCAATGCAATTCAGGTGTTAAAGGAACTTCACCTTTGGGCTAGAGCAATTTTTAATTTATCATTCTCAGACTTGAGATGTGCCTCAGCAGAGCCACCATGTGATGCCTTCTCGTCGTCTGTGCCGTTCACGCTAGAAGCTCGAGTGGAAGATGGTGTTTCACGTCCAGACTCCTGCAGCACAACACACAAACCAACACTGGGTGTCTCCTGCATCTCCTGCAAGACCACAACACCAATTCTTTGTAATCTTGATCCCACACCACTTGGCTGAGACCTTGGCTCTCCTGGGAACACACACATACCCTTTTCATCTTGGTTGCAAAGCTGGTCTGTTTAAAAAGAATGAAAAAATTATAATGATACACAAATGGAAGTTTCAAGTGGTCAAAATTTTTAAAAGTTTTTTTCCTGATAAGGTTTGTATTTTCTAAAGGCTGCTTGGGGTTTTTAAGGGAATGAAGCAACACAGTGCACCTGGAAGCATGCAAAGTCCAAACAAAACCACACAAATAAATTACTGCTCTTCCAAAGAGACACCATTCACACACTGCTTGGTGCTGACCACCAACAGAGAACAAACAAAGAGAACTATGAAGACCATGACCAAAGTCTTTACAAAATAAGTATCCAGAGTTAGCTGCTTACATCGATATTTGTGGATCCCACAAAGGGAAGTAGTTGCAAGAATAAAAGCATTCAGCAGTTTCTTTCTGATCATGCATCTGAAATCCTCTCTGATCAAAATTTGTCTAACTTTCCTCCAAACATTAGACCAGCTGAACAGGGTTCACTCATACCTAATGCACTGCACATGAAATTACAGTCAACCATATAGAGAGACTTGGGACAACACTCAGTTTTTCCAATTTATAAGACACCCAGATCTCCCTGAACACTGAGGCACTTGGCTGTGCTGCCTAGAAAAGTGTATTGTACAGATATATGACATCAGCTTCTTCCAGCCACTCACTAAACACTGCCTCTGTTCCCACACCACAGCTCCCCATCAGTCACACCTAGGCAAGGAGGCACTCTGGCCACAAAGTCAGGCTCTCCCCTGGCAAACAAATACCTACAAAAGTGGATTAGACAGATGACAAAAAGAAGGATCTTGATGAATCTCATTTACTGTCTGCTGAAGCACTATACTGACTTACTTTCCAGTGACTCAAACTATGTGCAACACTGCAAATCAAAGGATGTACAGCTCTCCCTGTTATTAAAAAAGTTATAACAGCTCAAGAACTGCTGAAAAAAATTAGATTTAAATGAAAGCAAAGGGCATGGAGGAATGAAATATATTCCTCTGACAATGCTAATGTCCAGCAGCTGACAATTACCCTCAGCAATCTCCATTTTATATACTTTTAGCTGGCTGACACAGGCTGGCACGGTCCAGTAGAAAATTTAACTTTAAATTATTTATCCTCTATGTGTACAGGTATTAAAGCTAAATTACAAACCTGGGAATGATTGCTTGAGGTCTCAATTTTCTCTTGAGATCTGTCTCTTGCTAGTTTGGCAGCCTCTTTTACTTCTTGGAACTTCTCTGCAAACTGGAAAAAGCATGAAAGATATTTATTAACAGGATTTATCCTCTATTAAACCATTGAGATTACTATCTTTATACGGTTCATAGATCTCCATAAGTGAACAACTAAATTTATTAATTTAAAACTTTTGGCAAGAAAAAAAATGCTTTAATTCTTTGGCAGGGAGGTTCTTTCAAAAGGAATGGGGGTGTTTCTAATAGAGGGATATCTCTGGAGCTTTGCCTGACCACAGTAAAAACCCGTGGAGAAAAAGAAGCTTGTGGGGTCTCCTGGTTTGATTTGTTTCTGTTTATTTCCTCCCTGTCCTCTGTTTCACTTGGTGTTGACAGTCTATTAAAGATGAAAGCATAAAAGATGTATGTTTGGATAAAGTTATTATCAATGTTTTCTATTCCTAAGAGCAAGTCAATTGAATTAATAAATGCAGAAAAGCTCATCTGCAGGATGCAGGCAAGGGATTGTCAAGACATAGGAAAAAAGAGAAGAAGGTAAACCTGAATGTACAATGGAGTCATAAGAAACCACAGCTTTTTTTGGTCTCATTTTCTTATTACTAACAAAAATAAAGGTAGAAGACTTCAGAGAAAGGCTTGAATTCTTCCTGTAAGATGGTTAGATCAGACTGGGGGAGGTGAGGGGAAGGAAAAATAAAGATGGAAAGTAACAATCCCAACCTCTATGAGCTGCCGAAGGACATCTGCTCCGAAGCCAGCCTGGCACCTTTGAAATACAAGTATTATCACAGCCAGTCAGGGTTGCAGGGCTTCAAACACTTTAAACAGTGTTTAAAGATTTACAAGGAGAATTACAAAGATGGGAAAAAAGGTATAATGCATAATTTATTTTTTAAATTAAGATGTATCCAGTGTAAGAATTGCTAACTTTGAGCTAAAGCAGCTTGGTCTTGTTTGCCTGTGTTTTGAGAAACTTGAAATGCTAGAAAGGTAAGACATATTAAAGGTAAAAATATAAAGAGATGCATTTTATTGCACAGTTTGTGAACGAAAGGACTGCCATGATAACCTTGGATAATTCAGAACACTTATGAAAAAACTGTAAATAAAAGCATAAAAAAGCCCATCAAATTTTATAGTCAAGTAATAGGAAGAATCATTATCTACTTACTAATTTCATCTTCTAACTTCTAGATTTACAGCAGCTATATAACATGCTCTCTCTGTAAAATACTGGGACTGTAAAGACTGATGAAACAAATCTCTATTTGGTCTAAAAGAAATCTGGATTTATATGTGGAGGCACTTGTGTTTTGTACAACACACACAAAGGCTGATTCCCACCAAACACACACACACACATATCATTGTTAAATCCCATGGACAAGCACATTCTCAAAGCTGAGTGAAATTCTGGGTGCACCCCACGATCTGTGACGATGCCTGGGAATGAAGCTGGAGCTCTCAAATCCAGCTGTGTTCTCTACAACAGCTGACACTGCACATGCACAGCGTGTGCTCTGCGATGGCAGCAGTTGCCATCTGATGGCATGTGCAGTCACTACACACACAAATGACTTGATTACCTTTGCAGCACTGCACAGATCGTTAGGAACAACCGCGTTACATTTACGCCCTAAGTGATTTAACTCCGACTTTACACAAATGTATCTCCCACTGTGACAAAACAGCTATAACAAGCTGATTATTTCTAAAATATTGTATCAGCAGAAAGTTCTACATTTGGGTTTCTTGTGAATGGCATAAGGCTGGTTTGAGCCTGTCTTTTCTAATAAATCTTTATCTCTCTTTTACAATATATATTTTCATCTGATGTATGAAAAATTTATGAGGGTTCTTCATGGATGATATGAAATATGGAAAGACAAAAAGAATTGGAAGTGATCTATCAAATTTTATTTTTCCAGCCATCTCCATAAAGCACACAGGAGACTGCTGTGAAAAATGATGTGAGCTGAAAAGGACACTTTTCCACATTTCCATAATAAAAAATTATATATGACTGAGCAAAGCTAATCTTCAATACTAAACCAATAATATCTCATCGCATAATAGATTTCAGTCATGTCTCTAGTTTGCCAACACATGTATTTAACATATTTGCTTTTAGAAACAAGTACAAATAACTGATTTTTTTTCCCTATCTTAGTGACAGATCTTCAGCTTTAAGCGTCAAAATATTACCCTTCCTTCTTATTGTTGCTATGGACGTAGAGATGTCTGTAACAGAAACGGGTGTGAAAGGCTGGCTCTGCTTTCTGTTTAGCTCTCACACTTGGAAACAGTGCATAGAGAGTTTTACTGCCATTTCTTTTTCATTCTTAGCTAATTCATACCTGTTAGATTTTACAACAGTCTGGTTTTGAAAGCTACAGAGGATCACTTGGCTCGTTATGAAATTAATGCGTTCCATTTGATTACAGCCAGGCAGTGGTGACAGCCCACACTTGTGCAGCATTACCAATGCTCACAGCTACAGGAGCAGAGCAGGTGTTTCTGAGCCACCCAGACCCAAAGAGAGTCTCAGCACAGCCACGGGGCTGAATCACTGGCAAAAATCAGAGAGCTGCTTTCTCTCTAGTGACTGATTTCTTCTGTCCCAAACATAAATAATTGACAAATAACTGGTAGTAAAAAATCACGTTCCACCTCCACGATCTAAGCTGACTTTGAGTTATCAAACCATCACAACAAAAGGGAATGCTTCTTAAGTGTGAAGTTCCTAGTTAAAAAGTGAAATAATCATCCGTTCAGTAAATGAAAACTTGGTAAGTGTGGCCTCAAGGGGCAATGAAATTATAAATACCCAAAACCAACTAAAAAATTCATCATGCTCCTTCTCCTTCCATCTTACTCCCTTCATCCTCCCTTTCTTCTATGCTTGCCCTCAGGCAAAGAAAGTTCCCCAAAATTAGCAAAAAAAAAAGACTGGAGTAGTAGAAACACCAACTGAACACCACTCTGATAGTCCATCATGGATTATGGGACGTGTCTTCCCGTGCTGCAGGAAGCTGTGAGACGAAGCTGCAATATGGAAAAGATTTGCTGCTCCCAACACTGGTGAAGCCTTTAAGTCAGACAGCTGCAGCTCATAAGCACTGCTTGATTGGGAGTCTTGGCCAGTGAAATTTAATGGGGACTCGAGGATGCTACCGTGCATTGCACACATTATTTAAAGGCTGTTCAAATCTGCAGCCAACTTGTCACCAGGAGAAATACATATATATATTCAAATAGACCTCCTTAGCATTTCAGACATTAAAAAGCATGATTCTGTATGCGTAAATTTTAGGCTCCTGATGTGGCATTAAATTTTATGTCTCCTACTGACAAATTGTGCCAGTGTTGGATGAAACAGCTGCTCCCACCCAAAGCAGGCTCATAAATATTTCATCCATCTCTCAGTTTGCAGAAGGTTGGGTGACACCATGTCCCCGTTGGGAGCACCACTGTGCCGTGACCCACAATGCACACACACTTTGCCCATGGTGGTCTCTGGATGAGCCCCCAGTCCGGGGCAGATCAGCAGCAAACAAGACTATTTACCCCAGGAAGTGGCCAGTAATTTGCTCCATCCCAGCCAGCACACTGCCAGTTCCACCACTGGCTGGACCAGGGGGCTGTGCATTGTGCTGGGGGCAGGTTCTGCTCTGAGCTTGCGACTCGCACACACCACACACATAATGTACATCTCTGCACAGAAATACAGCCCAGTGCATCCCAGGTGCTGGATGCAGCTGCTTTATGATGTGCAGAGTCTGGGTTTACTGGGTTTCTCACCTGTATAAATCTTTGTCCCTATGCCCTTGACTGCCTGCAGCTCCTTGGGTAGTGTGTCTGCCTCAAAGCACCCTGAACAGCAGCACAAATCTCCCTGAACAACTTCATGTGCCCTGCCTGTTCACACCATTGATTTCTTTCAATTCCTGTTTCAGTTTGGCTGTAACAATGTTTGAATAATGTCTTGAGACCTTTCTGAGGCATAGGGTAGGGAGGGGGGAAAGGAGGGTCAGCGAGTCCTGTCAGAGGGGAAAAGGACCCTGAGTAGGACATCAACTTTAAGCCCTGGGATTCTCCTAATCAATGTGAATGGTAATTAGGTTACTGGGTCACGGAATGCAGTTTTCATTAATGGCTCATGTTTAATTTGAACTGCTTTTCCCTATAGGTATGGATTAATGCTTTAAGTATCTCAGGAGAAACAAGGCATTAGAATGAGGCAGTATCTTTTATTAGGCCAAGCAATACACCTAAAAATGCAGGCATGCTTAACTTAAGGCATGCTAACCTCTTCTCCTGTCTCATTACTATTCATTGTTTTCAGCAGTCATTTTTCAGCTTTATTTATTTATATTTATTCTACGCCAGGGCTATTGATTTCTGGTTTAGTGGAGTTTTAGTGTGTCCTTCCAATTCCTGACTAAGCACTTCAATTACTTCCCGTAAAACTGGCAAGCTTTAATTTATATCTTTTATAAGAGTTTAATGATATTAACATAAAATGAAACTTGATTTTACTGTTCCCAATAGACTTATACATCTGTAATCTCACCAACAACTCTGATCTTTCTTACTAATGGCTCAATAATTAAACTGAGAAGCATGGATGATAAGGAGTATCTTTGACCCACTGCTTTGCATGGTGGTAATAAACAAAGTTTTCCTACATTTTCCAGCAAGATAACTGTCAGAGTTTAGTTTTGGGGTTTTTTTTAAAAGATCATCGCAAGCTACTTTCACAAGTGCTGCCTTTAAGCTCCCTCTTAATATCTTGACCAGAAGAAGTCTTTCTGCTGATTTGGAAAGCTTTTTTTGCAAGTAGAAGGCTGCATTATGGACAGTGGGCTCTTTCACAGATCATGCAGTGTGAACAGATGTGCAAAATGACCTGGAAAGAAACACAGCTGGTGCTGAGGCCTCTGTGCCCACACGACACGTTATTCAGATTGGCTCACATTTGGCCACATGAACATTAAAGAGCTGCTTTGATACCAGCAATACATTTCTTCTGAGTACGTGTTTGAACAGTCTTGGAGAATGTGTAATCTCTGATTAGGGTGTAAGGACCTCTAAATGTACCCCATGCCTTATTATAGTGTACCTAGTGCCATGTTATGGTTATATTTTGTCATCATAGAGTCAACCAGGTTGGAAGAGACCTCCAAGATCATCGAGTCCAACCCCACCGTGGTGACTAGACCATGGCACTAAGTGCCACATCCAGTCTCAGCCTGAAAACCTCCAGGGATGGTGAATCCACCACTTCCCTGGGCAGCCCATTCCAAGGCCTGATCACTCTCTCTGTAAAAAAACTCTTCCTAATATACAACCTAAACCTTCCCTGGCAGAGCTTGAGTCTGTGCCCTCTTGTCCTACTGCTGGTTGTCTGGGAGAAGAGACCAACCCCCACCTGACTACAACCTCCAGGGAGTTGTAGAGGGTGGTAAGGTTTCCCCTGAGCCTCCTCTTCTCCAGGCTGAACAACCCCAACTCCCTCAGCCTCTTCTCATGGCACTTGTGCTCAAGTCCCTTCTCCAGCCTCATTGCTCTTCTCTTGACCTGCTCCAGCAGCTCAATGTCCTTCCTGAACTGTAGGGCCCAGAACTGTACACAGGATTCAAGGTGTAATGTTACATTACCTTATCTGTTATGTTATGTGTTGTTATGCTATGTTAGTTATGTTATATGTAATGTTATGTTATGCTATGCTATGTTATGTTGTTTCTCTCTTCTCCTGAGCCAGACTCAGCACCACCTGCTCCACACAGTGCTCAGAGCATGTTTCAGTCCAGCCAGCATTGATGTACCATGTGGTCCTGTGTCATGTTGCAGAGGTGTAACTTCAGTAATCCAGGATTAAAAATTACTATGCAGTGGTGCTAATTCTTTCACTCAGTGTCCAAAGGTTGCATTGTATCATGCTTGTCTGTTACTCAAAACAAATTATTCCCCAAGGTACAATTTAATCCTTCCACATTCCCACACTACTTATTAACTACTATGAACACCTCTTTGCCCCAGGAGTGGAGAAAATGCATAGGTGAAATGAGCAGTCCTCTATGCTTGAGTAAGCATCATAAAACATACCCAGCACCTCATGTTCAATCAATGCAATGCTCTGTCTCTGCTGCTTTACACACCACAATAGACATCTTGTTCTCCTGATCCTTTCCTTATCAAAGCACAGGAGAGGACAGTAATATGAGAGACTATGTGCCATGCCCAAGGACACTGTGCTGAGTTAACTGATGAGGCTCAGTGCCAAGCAGCCATGCTTCAGGTGTCAACTATGTGTTGGATAAGTAGGGCTTTTTACTACACGAACAAACATCATCTCAGCTGCTTGATGAGCCCTTGTCAAGACCACTAATCCAATGACAGAGGATGTATTTTAAACTTGGTTATTCAGAACAAGAGGCAGCTCTAGACTTTACAAGCCTGCTGCTGTGCCAGTCCCTGGGTCAGGGAAGTGTTTCATTAATCCAGAGGCAGGTTTGGCATCAGCCCTTCCCAGCTACTCAACCCCTGCCACTGCCAACGCTCACTGCCACCCACGGACAGTGGGTAATTACAGCAGATGAGTGACTTGCATTGCTGAAGAGAACCTGAAGAAACACGCAGCTCAGCAGAGGTCAGAGCAGTATGTACAACTCTTCATTACTAAGAAACTAGACAACCTTTGCAGAAATTCAGTGAGCCCTGTTACCTTTGTCAGCTGCTGCTCGGAGGGAAAGCCCAGCCCGAACACGGTGTTGGCTCTGCTGTCTGCCCACTGGCCGAACTTCTGAGATGTTTTAGTGAAGGTCATGTTGGGTGTAATTGTGCTGTTTATGATCACCTGTTCAAAAACAGCAAAAAACAATTAAAAAGGAGAAGTCACATCGGAAATGCATATCCTAGCAACAATATCATCCAAAGCAATTAGCAGTCTAAACTGGGAAATTGCTGTGTTCAGAAGATTTTTCCGTAAGACAAAACAGTTTTTATCTTGTCTTAGCTCATGCAGGAATTCTGATGGTTTGTCTTTTTTTTTCAAAGCACTATCATGGTCCTGCAGTTAAACATGGCTGCAGAACACCACTGAACTCAAAGCAACAGCAAGGTCAGTAGCTATAAAATTACCCTGGCAGAGATGCAGATGCAAAATCCTCTTTTTTTCAGCATTAGGAAGGCACACAGCTATTCTCACTGCCCCACCAGGCAGCTAGGATGGCCTGAGGCCTCCAAACAGGGCATTCACCAGCAACACCTGACCTCAGACCTGAAGGACAGAGAGATTTCTGCATTTCTCCACTTGTCCTCAGGCCTCCACGAGCAGGATGCCAGAGACATGTCAGAAAGTTAAAGCAAAACAAAACAATAAACAACAAATAAACAAGACAAGGAGAAGCTGATAGCTTAATAGTGAGTTTAACTTGGGAGGATGGTGAAGTGCATCACCAACAATGCACACGCAGTACGTTTGGGCCTCAGAACAAATATTTTTTCCCCTTTACATATGCTAACTAAGATCTGCTCCATCACCAGCAACCATGGAAGCAACAGTGGTTTTGTAATTAAAGAAACAGCCAACAAGAGGAAGGCTAGTGGCTGAGGTCTCTAAGGAACTTAGTGGAACAAGAATAAAATGTAATCTTGCATAAAGGAATGAGATGTATGTCAGTTCATTATCAGAAATCTTAACTTTATTTTCAAGATACATCATTATATGAGTCTAGAGACTCCTTCCCCTGGAAATTAATTCATGTACAATGTTCTTTCTGCTAACAGAATAAGAGCTTTCTTTAGTAATGCATACCGTCATTTCCAATATGTAAATTATGCAGTAATTAAGCCCAATCTGTGGGACAGTTTAATTAACATGATCAGGAAGTATCCTGGCAACATAATTTGCTATGTATTCCAAGCAGTTTTTTCCTAAGCTATCATTTACATTTAGCAAAAAATGTGAATTACATTTATCAGAGGAAGATCCTTACTTGCCTCCATCCCCACCGAGCTTCCAAGCTCCAGGCTGATGCTTTCATTTACTTTCTTAGGAATTGCTCAACTTATTTCCCTCTTTTTGCATCATCACCTTCAAATGCACATTCAATTTTCTGCCATTGCCTGCCACTGAAAGTTCCACCAGAAGGATCACAGCAGGAGAGGCAGGTGACTGCTACCCCCACCACTGTCCTTCACACAGGAAAAAACAGAGCAAGAAAGGGGCAGAGGGGACTCTACAACCAGCACCAGCCAACACACACCATACAGACATCAGATTGCCCAGAGAAGCTGTGGATGTCCCATCCCTAGAAGAGTTCAAGGCCAGGCTGGATGGAGCTCTGAGTAACCTGGTTTAGTGGGAAGTGTCCCTGCCCATGGCATGAGGGTTGGAACTGGGTGATCTGTGTGGTCCCTTCCAACCCAAACCACTTTGATTCTATGATCAGCATTCAGGGTCAAAACATCTTTTTGAATGGCCAGTTGACAGGCAGAGGTATAAGCAAAGCTGCCCAGATGTGTTCTCCTCCAGCTAAGTCACACAATAGAAATGGCCAATATAAAATCTAAGTCTGATTTCAGAGATGTAAATGAAAAGAAAATCAAAGATTTTACGTAGGGTTTGACAATGCAAAGGGACTATGATGATACAAGTATTGCATGATACAGAGAGTCACAAGAACAGGAGGAAAAGCTACCACCAACCCAGAAAAATCAGGATGCTTTCCAAAAACTTTAAAGAAAGTGCCATATGTATATTTCTTTTTTAAAAATCTTACATCAGACAGATGAACCACTTACAAATATTTAGCTTCTCAAGTTACAAAATTTATTTTAGAAGCTATGATATACCCAGAAATTTCAAATGATCAAAGGTATTATTTCACTCCTGCTGTGCCTATCAAATTAGACATCCGTGGGAATAAAACCCCAATAAAATGACCCATTCTATTGAAAGGCAAAAGCTTCACTCGCTGGTAGCTGACCTTGAGAAGAATAAAATTCTTCCATACCTCCTAAAATAATCATTGAGTAAATAGAAATATATTAAAAAAACACACCAAAGTTATTTTTTAGACCTCAGTTCAGCATTATCAGATGTGATAAAATGAAGCCTGCAAACTGTAAACCAAGGAACACCTAACTGAGAATTGAAATGCACTACATTAGCTGAGCACCTTAGGAGTTGTTTTTTCTACAGCCAGCACAGAATCCCAGGAAAGGCTGTTGTGAGCACACACCTTCAAGAAACTGACAGTTCATCTGTTAAATTTGTAATAAGCTGCAATTAGTGAAACTGCCTGGAAGTTGGCTCTAACTTTTTTTTTTTCCCCTTAAATCCTCCTCTGTCAGTC